TGTTCCGGAAATACTGCGTCCTTTAAACATATATAAAATTAAAGCTTATTATATGTACTATAAAATAAAAAAAAAAAATTTGTCCCGACGATCTATCTTCTATGTGCAAATGGCTGGAAAATTTAAAAAAAAAATGTAATGATTGCGATAAAAATTACCTTTTATCGGGATGTTTTTTGTGCTTAAAACTGCCATAACTTTTTCAAAAATGAACAAATAAAAATANTAAAAATTTAAAGAAGAAAACAATTTTACAAAAATTTTTAAAATATAAAATTAATATGACATATAATATAGTTTCAATAAAATTATAAATTTATACTTATTTTAAAATTTTCCATAGAACATTTTTTAGTATGAACTTTACTTTAGTCATAAAAATGTCTGATTTTTGAAAAATTCTAAAGAGTTCATTAAGTAATAATTTTTTTAAATTTATGATAATTTATATCTTATGAGATTAATGTTCCACAGAAGTTAATATAGCTAAATAAATGGACGTAATAGAATCAACGGAATGCATTGTTGTATAAGCTCCTAAATTAGTTATTCTAATTATTCTCAAATTGCGCTGTGATTAATTAAAAAAAGAATAGATTGGTGTAAATTGAATTACACATTATATATAGATGAAAAATTGTATTAACCATGTTTGGATAAATAACATAGTTGGTAGTAAATTATTTTAGCTTCGATGCGAAGCGGAGAAGGTATTAATTTTACTATGATGTGTTTTTTTTTTTTTTTTNTGCTATTTTAACAAATTTTTTTTTAAAATGAAATACTATCTACAGATTTGCATCGAAGCGTTTCTTATGATAGTGATTTAAATCACTGTCAAATATCATCTATACTTGTCCCATCTATGCCTTGTCTACACTGTGCCTCGACCCCACTGTGCTACCGTTTTTACTATAACTATAGATAGGCAATACAATAATAAACAATTGGGTAGATACTATAAATATAATATAACTAAAAATTATAACATATTTTTATACAAAAATTTACAGTTTTGGTATTGTCATTCAGTCTTATAATAATAATTGATAAATAATAAGTATTTAAAAATATCATTAAATGGAACATAAAACATAATATAAATTATATGTCTGTAACTTACAACACATAATATAAACATATATAGTGTAACTAAATATTAATGTATATATATTTGAGATGATAATTTTTATTTTTAAATTTAAATAATGAACACAAATTGTTTAAATATTAATTTATAGCTACTTTTAATTCACTATATTCTGAATAAAATGGCTCTCAACAAACTTTTGCACACTGTCAAATGATAAAATATTTTCTTTTAGCTGTTGTAAGCACAATTTACCACGCTTGTGAATATTTGTATTAGTATTTTTATAATTTTCAGAAACAAGCAATTTATCTAGTACATAATGCATCCAGTAAATGTTTGTTTTTGGCTTAAATGAACTCCATTCTTCACTGAACAACACCAAATTAAATAAATTACACTTTAAAAAATGTAGGGTAGGAAGTATTAATAAAAAAAGATTACTTTGTCTCTTCTTTCATCATGCGATAAATTTCAAATTGATAATCGCCATATGATGTAAATAATTCTGGATCACTACTTAAATTATTATAAATTTGTTTTCCACTATATGTAATTCTACTAAGAGTAAAATCAATGATTGAAGCCTAAAAAATTTAAAAAAATATAACAGAAAATTAAGAAATCTAATCATTGAATTTAAGTATCTTTTACATATTTTTTTTAGTTTAAGCCTTACTTATGTTAATTATTTAACTTTTGTTGTAGACAAATATTAATTTAATTTATATGTTATAATAAAAATGCTTAATATAAATTTGTCTATGATTTATATTTTAATAATTACCTTGATACCACTAGTTTGAAGTGAATATTCAATTTCATTTAATCTATACATTTGTTTTTTAGTACTAATTTTTTTAATTAAAATATTACCAATATGCAAATCTCTATGTTCAAAATTATACTCATTTTCAGCAACTGCCAATGCAAATAGGACCTATTTAAAAAATGTTTAACAATAGTTATAAAATAAAAAATGTAAACGTATAATATACTTGTAATATAGCATGGAGTGCTTGATTTGCTGAAGTAAACAAGAAACTTTCTAAATCTATTCCTCCATCTTCCATTTCCAACACAATGTAATTTTGATTATCTGGTAGTATACTTGGACAATCATTATCAGAACCTATTATAATTAGATGTTTTTATAAATTTCAACAAATATGAACAATTTATTTTTTAAAGTAACCTTTGGCATTGTCATATTTTTTCCATAGTGAAAGTAGTTGTTGTGGGTATTTTCCTTTGACACAAGAAATACTATTAAGCTTACAAAAAGTTTTTGTATGATTTCTTGAGTTTTCATACAATTTGTTTAATTCTGTGGCTATAAGTATTTCAGAATAAACTTCATTCATTTTTTTTTGATTTTCACCGTTAATTAAGGTATCTCCTTGAATAGGAATAATCTTAACTACAATGATTTTCCTGTTTGCTGAATAACTAAAAACTTCACCGTAAACACCTTCACCAATTTTCTTCCACATTTTTCTACCTCTATTAAAAATTAATAAAACTGTATACTTAAAATAATGTTAATTTTATTATTGACAAGTTCTTAGTCAATTTATTACTTTGAATAAATCCAATCCTCAAAGACTATTGGTTCAGATTGACCACATTTATTAAATATATATTCAGAGGCATAATCTTCTTGTATTCCTTGAAATGAAAAAAAATATATACATATACATACAAGAATATTTATGTAAAATAAAATATTATTATAAAGCTTTAGACAAAATATGTACTTCTAAAATATTCATAACTTTTGTATATTTTAAATATTTGATTTTAATTTACCGGTAGAATTAAATTGAGAATGAATTTGACTAAATTGACACATAGATGATCTCATTATACTATTTTGACTTATAATTTCATAAATACTGGAGTCTAGAATAAAATATAAATATACAATAACTTTGAAATAAAAAAATCTTTAAATTATAGTAACTAAAAATTTCAAAATTACCTATTGATTGACGGTGCAATACATTATCAACAGTAGAATTCCAATTACGACCTTTATTTCTATTTTGAGTAAAATGNTACATTATCAACAGTAGAATTCCAATTACGACCTTTATTTCTATTTTGAGTAAAATGATTAGTATGATCTATACTACCATCAATGAAACTTCGCATTATTAATATAGAACGCCTCCATTTTTTGCCAGGTTCTAATCGAAAATTAGGAAGATTTTGTTGTGAACAAATAGGTTGAGAATTATCTAAATATTTCTCATTCAATGTTTGGTTGTTAGTATCTTCCGTTAAAGATTCTTTAATCGATAACATATTAAAATTATTTTGATATCGCCCAGCATATCGTTTATGTCTTGATATATTTTGATTAATATTAGAACTAAAATTATGACATTCTTCTTCCCATAAACTATAAGATGTATTTATGTCATTATTATTTGACTTTTGATTATTGCAATTACTAGAAAAATTATCTAATCTTCGTTCATTTACATTAAAAAAGCGACTCGATTGACGAGATAATTTTTTTGGTTTATCATTGTAAAATGGACTAATTTCTAAATTATAACTTGACGTAATTTGATTATTGTTTTGGAAAATATTATTAGAAGTATTGCATGAGTTAGACAAGTTTTGACTTAATGATTTATGTTGAGTGTTTTCTTTTGTGTATATTCTATTTTGACTCAAGTCATTAATACTTAAAGTTTCATTATCTACATCTAAAGATTGTTGATTATTTTTCAATATTGGTAAAGTCAAAAATGATAAATCTTGGTGATCTTCACGTTGTACAACAGATTTCAAAATTTGGTCAATCAATTCATTTTTTTCAATGATAGTATTTTGCTCAGAACTAGAAGAGTGAAATGATGATCTTGAACTATTTATTGAAACATTATTTTTAAAAGATGATATTCTGGCTGATTGACTAGAGTTTAATAATACAGATGTATTATGTTGTAAAAGTACATTAGATGTGTTAAAACAATCATTGTCATTTGATATCTTAGATATTGAACTGACTGTTACATTTGAATTAGTAGAAAGATAACTTTTCAAATCACTATTTAGTCTAGTACTATCTAAATCACATGATTTATATGGAATTGAAGATACATTAAGCAAATTATTATTTTTATTTGATTTATCTAATGAATTTAAATCAAGTACTTGATTATCATCATAGCTTACTGTTGAATCATTCTTTTTTTCTATAAATAAATTACTTTTTAATTCAGTACATTCAATTAACTCTTCAACTGAATTATGAAATTTATCTAAAACAGTTATATCACCATTTGATTTAGGCGAATCATCTAATGAGTAATTCTTTGAAAAAATATCATTACTAATTAAAAGGGAATATGAAATATTCAAGGAATTTTCTAAATATTTAGAAAGATTTTCTACATTAAGACCATCATGTGAGCTACAATCCACTTCTTCTTTATCAGAATCAATATGTATTTTTTTTTCACTTGGAGTTTGTATAATTTTAGATGAATTTATTTTCGTATAAATATTTGAAATTATGCATTGTGGTGACAAGGAGGTACCCGGTGAATTGTTTTTTTCGTTAACTTTTTTATTTATTATATTTGAAGGAGTCAGTATATTATTTGGAGTAATATTTAATTTTGGACTTAATTTTAAGTCTGATGAATAACTTGTATCTTGTAAATTTGGTTTGCTATCAAAATCACTATTTAGTGTGTTCATTACTTTGTGGAACCAGTCAGAAGATGTATCCCTTTTGATGTTAGATGCATTTTTCTTATTTTTCTTATTTTTTGAGTTAATTTTATTGGTTTTAGGTAAAATATAACAGTTTTGATTACTTGTTACAGCTTCATAAGTCAAATTCAATTTTGAATTAAAATTCTCTTTGTTATTAATTCTAAGTAATCCGTGCCAATCTGATATTTGAATAGATTCATCAAAATGAGATTTTTTATAAGATTTCTTTAAAAGTATTGCTGGACTACAGGCAGAGTAGTCTCTTTTTTTAAATAATTCCGGAGAGCAAGATATATCATATGTTGGAATACTTAGATTCTTTATAGACTTCATTTCTTTCTTTTTATCAGTAGACATTAAAATTGTTGTATTTTTATTGACTAAATGTAATGGTTTTTGTAAAGGTGTTGAACATTGATTCTTTGGGATTTTAAATTTCTTTTTTAACTTTTTTTGCAAATGTGAACCTAAAATTATTAAAAATAATTATTATATTATCTATCATGAAGGCATTCATAATACATCTTCAGAAAAGGCTCTAGTTTTTGGTATAATTAAAATATTAATAATTCATTAAAAAAATTACTACTAAAAAGAACAATTTAAGAATTGTTCAAATGTGTAGCCATAAAAATAAAGAATAAAAAAAAATTCAACTTAATAAATGAATTTAAATCTATTGACATCTTATTTTAAAAATCAATACTTTATATGTATAAGTATTTGAATTTTTAAATATAACATAAATATAGATTCACATATATTCGGGAAAATTAATACGAGCCTTATCATTAGACAAATATTTTGAATATTTCTTTATAAGTGAATAGCATAATTTTAATTACAAGTATTTTGAGTTAATTCTAAGTTCAAAGAGTTGTTACTAGAATGATAAAGTTTTCTTTTTTTTTCTGCACTCCCATATAACTTGTATTTCTTGTACTTGTTCTCTAGAGAATTACTGTATTGATTCCTGAAAAAATAATACAAAATTAAATATTTTTTAGCTTTGATATATAGCTGAGAAGCTATTGGTTTTACTTTGCGGTATTTTGTTTAAGTACCATTCAGGGACAAACTAAGAGACCCAACCCAACCTAGAAGCTAAAGATATTTGTATTGCTCCATAAAAAGAAATTATGAGCAAGAAAAACAAAATTTTTTAATTAATTTTACAAAAAGGAATATATTAATCATAGCAGCCCTCATTATTTATAGAAAGCATGCAGTTGTCCCATGGCTTCTGATAACAATATACACAATTATTTCACTTTTACTAGCCTAATTTTGTTAAATGACACATCAAAAGATCATAAAACGTATTTAGTTGAAGTGCTATTAATGCTATAATTTTGACAATTTTCTCCCAATCCAATTAATAATGAGAAATGTTCCTAAAAATTACTGTTATTACAATGTTGACAATTTTAGTTTTCATTTTATATTGAAATAACTTTTTGGAAACTGAATGGATTATTGCATTATTTTTATTGTGAAAACTTAAAAACATTTGCCTTGCTGACGACATACTTTTTTTTTGAAATTTAAGCATTAACTAAAATACAATGCAGAAGGTGGTTGAAAATCATTTCAAATCTTTTTTTTTTTGAAATTTTGAAATTGTTTCAATAGATCTACATTAAATTAAAACTAATTTATATACTTTAAGACGAAAAAAGAAAAACTATCTGAAATTTCAATTTATAGCCAAAAATTATAGCATTTTTGTAAAAAATTTATGTGTTTTGTATAGCAACAGAACATCTACAACATTTAAATCAAAATAAAATTTTAGGCTTTTTTATTGTATTATACGATTAAAAAAAATAAAAATGGTAAAAAATTAATAAGAAAATTAATTAATTTACTCAATGGTTATTAAATGTTTTCTAAAATATAATAGTAAAATTTAAAAAAAAACATGTAAAATTATGCCTTAAAATACAATATAACAATTTTGTACCTCAGTGGCAATTTTATATGTGTAAAAACTATACACATTTAATCAACTAAGTAATACCTTTTTTTAACAGTTGAAAGACCTTTTTTAGAATTTAAAGTTGATTGCAATCGAGATGACCAACCATCTATGGTTTTCATTTTATCAATTTTATCGTTTTGCTTTTTAGGTTTATAAAACGATTCAAAACCACTAGGTTCAGGAGATAAAAATATAGTCTGTTGATCATGTTCAACTCCTAAGCATTTATCAAAATCGTCAACTAGATCATCATTCCATATTGCTGTTTCACTTAATAATTGAGTTCGCCTTGGTTTCCCATATGTTTTAACAAATCCAATTTGAGAAGTATTGGAAGCCATTTTTTACAAATTATCTGTCAAAAATTAAATCTTTATAAGGTACAATAGTTGAAATTATTTGTTTATTTATTTATACTTAATGTCCTTTCTAAAACCTATTGATTATGTCAAAGAGGACTGTAAAACCTATATATCCCACTGTCACAGAATCAAATCTTGGTATTTATATACCAAGTAATTTTTATAAAGGTTGAATAAATATAAACCAACATAATTGCTCTATATAGGGTGATTTGTTTATCATGAATCTTTAAAAAAGTGAAAAATAAAAATAATATTGAGCTTTTTTTTTTTGGTCTCTTTTGAGTACATGTTTTTCTCAATCTATCAATCATAAATAATTTTTTTTGTTCATCCTTTATGCTTTAAAAAAGTGTCAACTTCATATTTTCAAATGGAAACATATATAATAAACTTATTTGTTTAATAGATAATGAACTAATTAAGAATAAATAATTCGGAAGTTATTGACATTATTATACTAAAACAAAACAATATAAACTACCAAAACATTAAATCATCAAAACCCCCTGATATTTGATTTATCTGTCCACTCTATTACTAGTGAACCTAGAAGGCACTTAAAGCAAAAGTGGTGTTGTTCCCTATTGGTTGACTAATCCACGATTTCACACATCTTAAAGTACCTGCAATGGTTGGCATTATCTATCAAACCTACTGTCTTAATATATTTACCTAATTATATATTTATAATGATATAAACATTATTTGTACTTATTGTAATTAAATTTATTATAGATTGCACAATTCTAAATAAAAAATATTATATATGCTACATTTAAAAAGGAAATTAGAAAACAAATTAAGATTTATTATATTAAGGTGTTCTATTTTTCTTTTTAAGGAGAAAAATTAAGAAAACTATTAAAATTAAAAATATTTGTTGGGGAACTCATTACACTAATGGATAAAAAAAATTGTTCATTGAAAATTTTAAATAAAAATATAAATTTTTTTTGTTATCTTTTAGCACTATACACAAGGAAAATTAAATAAATTTAATAAAAAGTAATAAATATTTAATAATAATGATGACATACCTCATAGAATAAATCAAAAAAACATACTATCGAATATTTTCTTATTATATTTATTTAACAATAAAGAAATAAAAATCAAACTAATCCAATCAAAAATATAATTTACTTGTTATTTCATNTTTTCAAATGGAAACATATATAATAAACTTATTTGTTTAATAGATAATGAACTAATTAAGAATAAATAATTCGGAAGTTATTGACATTATTATACTAAAACAAAACAATATAAACTACCAAAACATTAAATCATCAAAACCCCCTGATATTTGATTTATCTGTCCACTCTATTACTAGTGAACCTAGAAGGCACTTAAAGCAAAAGTGGTGTTGTTCCCTATTGGTTGACTAATCCACGATTTCACACATCTTAAAGTACCTGCAATGGTTGGCATTATCTATCAAACCTACTGTCTTAATATATTTACCTAATTATATATTTATAATGATATAAACATTATTTGTACTTATTGTAATTAAATTTATTATAGATTGCACAATTCTAAATAAAAAATATTATATATGCTACATTTAAAAAGGAAATTAGAAAACAAATTAAGATTTATTATATTAAGGTGTTCTATTTTTCTTTTTAAGGAGAAAAATTAAGAAAACTATTAAAATTAAAAATATTTGTTGGGGAACTCATTACACTAATGGATAAAAAAAATTGTTCATTGTTCATTGAAAATTTTAAATAAAAATATAAATTTTTTTTGTTATCTTTTAGCACTATACACAAGGAAAATTAAATAAATTTAATAAAAAGTAATAAATATTTAATAATAATGATGACATACCTCATAGAATAAATCAAAAAAACATACTATCGAATATTTTCTTATTATATTTATTTAACAATAAAGAAATAAAAATCAAACTAATCCAATCAAAAATATAATTTACTTGTTATTTCATTGTATTATTATAAATTATTAAAATTATGATTATAAATTAAATTAAGATAATTATATTTTAATATAGTTCAAACAATGGAGTTATCTTAATTCAATTATAAGTAATTTCGTTTAATATAATTGATATTTTATCCGTTGTTTAGTTTTAAATTTGTATTTACATTATTATTATCAACAAATGTCATGGAAGAAAATATTCCGCTTATCATTTATCTACATAATTTTAGAAAATACTCATTAAGTACAAATGAACAATAGGTAAAGAGTATGCAACTATTACTATTAAATGAAAAATATAATAATAATATGAATTTTTTCAAATTTTCATTTTATTTTCTTGTAAAAATAAAAAACTTATGGCTTAGCTTATGCGCGGCTACAGAAGAAATAAATTTTATTTAAAAAATTTCATTTTATTTGGCGGTTAAGAGTATTTCACTAATTTTCCATGCGTAAGACTTATATTTAAAAAATTGAACTTTACTTTAGAAAATGCTACTATTAATGGGCTATTATTTCTTTGTTCCTCTTATATCAAAGCCTCACTTAGTCCATGACTTAAATTTTATCACCAAACTTTTCAACTTATTTGTTACCTTATTTTTGTTTACTTAAATTAAATTAAGCTAAGCCAAACAAAGAATTTTTTTTTAATATTTAAACTTATAATTGCTATGTCTTAAGAATTAACAGATCATAACAAATATACATTTTTTTGTTAATTTTTATTATTTAAAATAATATAATCATTCAACTTTCTTAAGACTTATTTTTTTGTATATATATTCATTAATCTACAAAATTTCCCTTGTAAAAATTAACTAATGGTATTAATATAACAACAATACTTCTGCTATTTTAAAATTTAAGTCAGCCGATTGAAAATATTTTTTTTTTTTTGAAAAAAAAAATGAAAATAATACGTTGCATTATATTCTTTATATTGTATAAACGTATAAGTGTATATCATATATTTATTGTGTTCATACAGTATGCCTAAGCCAAAAATAAAAAAATATTGCTATGATATCAATATGAAATGTAGGATCGAGGTGAAAGTTCAAATTTACGGTTACTGTTAAGCCACCAATGAATACAAGACGTGTCTGTTACCTAACAAACAAATACCGTCTGATCCTCACACTTGCGTTACAATCCCAATGACGATTCATGCAGATATTTACCATTATATTTATTGTGAGTGTACCGCACAGGATCTTTCAATATCAGTATGCCTTCAAAGTTGTCTACGCGCGTCATACTTATGGTCCGTTTATTTGGTGGACATAGTTTACAACTCATTTGCGTTTTCGTATAATTCTAATTATAGTTTTACAATGACAAAAAAATACAAGTACCGTAAGTATATATTATTATAAATTAATTGCCGAGTTATATAACTATAAACGTTTTCAACTATTTATAAAAAATAAATGTTTTGTTTAAAATTACTTATAAATTTTTGGGAAGAGTTATAGTTTTAAGTCGTTTAATACGCGTCTAAGCTATTTTGAGTTTGTCAAATTAAATTCTAATAACTAACAAATAACTGTAATGTTTATTAGTATATGATAAATGGTAACAAATGTAATTTTTTACTTTCAACCAAAAATCTTTAAATATTTAAAAGTGCAATTTTCTTATTTTTGTATTTTAAAATAGATGTTGACAGGTTTTTTTAATAGCTACAATAAAAGTAAAATATTTAAATGATTCATCATCACTAAGTAGAAATTTATAATGACATATTTCGCCTTTTTGTAAAATGTTTATGATATTACGTTGTCAACAATTGCATGAAAGTTTAACATGTTGAAGTATTAATATCAATTCTTTACTAAATTCTTTTTTTACTTGTTTTGTTTGGTAATTTGTACATTTTTACAAATGTAATACTATATTACATTTACTTTTAGTGAGATATTATTTTTTCTACATAATAGCTTATATTATTCTAAGTAATAAATTATATAAAATGTACAACAGCTAAAGTGTACCATTATTTTCTTAAAAATATTTTGATATCTAAATCCAGGACAAGACTGGTAGCCAAATGGCCCACAATAATTAAAGGCCGCTCACGTCGTTCTAAATATTATTTATTTAACAAAAATGATAAGTAAAAATAAAAAGGTCAAAAATAGTTTAAATTAAATTAATTCTAATTATATGTGAAGATTAGAGGTGGTGAAAACAGTAATAATACTATGCTCTATGCTAATTATAAACAAGGGACACTAAACCCGTACAATAAACTACCAAATGATTAGTTTTTAATTTTTTTTTATTAATCACTTTTTAAATTGGAATCCTAAAACCACAAAAAAGTATTAGGTTTTGGACGTGCGTTCTAACTCGTTCGGCACTAAATCCGGTCTTAAATACACACGTAAACATTTCTACGACTATAAATAAATAATTAAATTAAAAAATAAATTTTATTTTTAGTTAACAAGGTTAGAATAAAAATTAAATTTTCAAATATCTTTAAAAAATTATTCTAAAACAAAAATTCATAGGATTATTCAAACTTAATAACTTAAGACATAATTTTCATTTGACGAATCTAGAATTATAAAATGATAAAAATGAAAAAATACCTACATGTTATTATTTTTAACAAGACAAATTGATTAGAATATCCAAATACATATAATGGTAAATCAGTAAATGTTGCACAATGTTTTCACGACAGTTCCTCATAAACTCGGTTATGACATAAGGGGGAGATGAGCTAGCAACAGTGAAAATCCACTTGACGATTTTTGCCATTTCGAAAACGTTAATTTTGGAATTAAACGATACGACATACTGTTTACATGGGCCACAAAACGTATAGTCTTGTGACATAATAACTGCGGTTATAACCAATAACTGGAAACTCAAAGATGAGCTGTATAACCGGTAAAGGAATCAAATTCAGTATTGTGCCGACTCATCTCCGTTGTCCACAGTGGCCGCGAATCGTCACGTTAGTTTAGTTCGTGAAACTTTCATCGAAATGTGACCTAATAACGATTATAGATATTACCGCGTTTGCTTTCAGAATCTCATTATCACAAGAAAACGCATTTGAATTATTAAACGTGTGAATGTGTCGCATTGTAATTCGCGATATTTTTTTTTTTTATTGTACCGACGACTACTCCTCTGATACTGAAGGACCTTGACTTAGTAATACAATTTCGTGACTGACTGACAGACAGACAAAGAAAGTGTACTTGCGTTCAACACTACCTTTTACTTACATTTGGCCGCTTATAATATTCGTCTGCCAATCGGCATTGTCTTACCATAATACATATGTGTAGCTCGGTGGGTATTTTATTTATCTTAAAACTGTGTATGAATAAAACATACTTTCTCATACGAAAATTAAATTTAACGTTTAATTATCTTATTTCAAGTTGATTCTAGTTCATCACACCCCACCGTCGTCATAAAGTCATACCTTATAGTTTTATTTATTATAATTTTATGAAATTAATTCCATTCATTTTTATGATGTAGCACCTCGTGTTTTTAACTTTAGCTTAATATTTATTATTTAATAATCAAAAGATTTTATTTAAAAATAGTTCAAGTAAACTTAATAAATATTTTATTTAAGATGTAATTACTTTAAATATTATAAATGACCTTCTCAAATATTAATCATCAACTACCAAAGACAATTTACCAAGGTTTTAAACTTAAGATAACCACAAGGCTATAAAGGGAGTATATAGAATATTTTAATATTCGTTATTAGATTTTATCGCCGATATGAGAATTAGCGAGTTAATAACCAAGACAATTCTTGTATCAATTTATATAAAAACTTCATCGAGGCACATATTTACTCCCTTGAACGTCATTACGGCTGTATCTACTTTATAATTATTGTTATGTTTAAAATATATTTTTTATAAACAACAGTATTAATTTGTGACCTTCATATGTATTTTCTTTGCTATGATTTTATTTAAATATGAAAACGTATTTCATTTCTAAATAGATACTCAATGTGCTTGTACCATACACAACCGCTTTTCCGTAGATATTAAAAGTAATACCAATAACATAACTATAAAATCAACAATATCTTAATTTTCTTAGTATAATCAAAAGAATATTGAAATTTGTTTGTTTTTTTTTCAAAGTTTAATTTTAAAATAATAGTTTTTTTGTAAATCTGTCGTGTTACTCAGTTAATAGGTAATTATTTGCTTTCGCATTTATACAATTTGAGTCTTTATGAATCTATATGTATAACATGGATAATCAAAATGTTAGACAACTGATCTGTCAATTGACTTAGTGTACCAGTTAAAATATTTATTATTGGAGAGGCATACCATAACTTCGTGTGTTAGAATTCATTATTTTTTTGATTGAACAGTATTTATGAAAGAACAAAAATATATTCAAAAAACTCAATGTGCCACCAAAATGATAAACAAAATATGATTACTACCAGAGCTCAGAACTTAACGTATTTCTAAATTTTGTTTGAACCACTTCTGAGACACCCAACTATGTGAATAATTATCATAAGTGTATACAGTACCAAAGTAATAATTTTTGTTTTAGAGGGAGGTGATCCCTCAACGTCATATTACTGAATATTCGAGAAATTACTCCTCAATAAAAAAAATATGCGTGTGGTAGTGAAAGATTTTAGAAGTAATCTATGGAAGTAATGTTTTTATTATCTTAACTTTATTTCAAATATTTTTTCGTATGTTATGACTTATAATAATATGTTTATCATCACTAATTTGCAAGTATTTTGAAAGCTAAATGAATTTCTATTGATATTGTGAACTCCACTAGACCATCGTAAAGTGTTGTGAAACCTCATTCGGAATTACAAATTCATTAATGCCGATATCACAAAATATGTTGGGTATCTAAATACCTAAAAATATATTGATATTAATTATTTGATTTAAGAAATTATAAATATTTTATTTTTTATTATATATCTAAATGTTTTTTAATTATCTTAGCCAATGGCATACTCAAGATTAATCAATTGGTGGGAGGGTTGGCGTCAAATAACAAAATGTTTTTTTTTTGGTGAATTATTACTAACATGATGTTACAACTTAATAACTAAAAAATATTTTACCAAAATAATGGAATGATATTGATTACTATAAACATCGTATTGATTATATTTTTATGAATAAACAAAATAAAACATTTGGCTTGTTCAAAGTTCATTATTTACGGCGTTAAAGAATGGTATTTCTACACAAGATTTTTTAATGTTATATACCTATGGCTTTACGTAATCTATGTTTTTTCATATTGGTGTGATAAAACGAACAATATGCTAATACAAGGGGACATTAACCAAATTGTTCAAGTAAACGTCAAGTAGGTAAGCCTGATGAGTTTTAGATTGTAGCAAGAACTGAATAAATTTAGATATAAATATTTAAAAACGGATGGCTAAGTGATTACATTAAAAGATAGGGAATACAAAAATATATGTCAGGCAAATTATCTAAATAATATGAAAAAAATATGATAGCTAACTTAAACAAAACATGTATACCATACTGAATTGTAAAAATTTCATCGCAGTTTTAAATACCTATAAAATAAACGCTAAGTTTCTTAATTTTAATAAAAAAAATAATTAACTTACTTGTTATACTACATAATAATAGCATTAACAATAACTTTTCATTTTTGCTATTTCTTTTTTACTTTGTTAAAAAGTTATAAAGTTTAAAAAAAAACTAATGTGTTTGTAAATATGCATTTAAAAGATTCAATTTGCACAAAAAACAAGTTTGACTTGTTTTGTAAACTATATTTTAATTAATTTATATTTACTAGATATTACATTATTTTTTTATTTCAATTTTTGATTCTTTTGTTTTTTGTTTTTAAGTAAATTTTAAGCTATTCATACTTTTCAATTATTGCACTAAATGCACTCGACATGATAAAAATGTTCGGTTAAATTATTTAATATCCACTATCAAATTTTTATATTAACTTGTGAGATTTTTTTCGAATAAAATCATATAGATACAGTCATTTATTTTTACTTATACATTTTAATTATATGAATGACAATATCTCAAGATTATTAGATGTATATGAATATAGGAGTATAATATAATTGAGTGCATCATTATTAAATTATAAACAAAACAGTTTTTTAATCCTTAAACTGCATCAGTATTGATAAACAGTTTATTATTTCTACGGCGTTTTAGCAAAAATGGATAAATTTAAAATTTCAACTTTTGGAAAAATGAAATAAAAATAAAAATTTACTCGTAAGATACATTTAATCCCAATTTTCATACGTGAAACATTCAAAATAATGTTTTTATGTTTTGAAATAAAAATGACTCATGTAAGTTTCAAGTTAATTTTTTTAAAGTTTCAGTTTTTACATTTATCCTTTTTTGCACGAACTCCACAAATTTGTTATTGGTTCATTTTATAAGGAAAAATAAGGCTGTTGTGTTATCATAAGATATTGAGATTTCCAACAATATCAATAGGTATTTCATGCTTTACTTAAATATTTATAGAGAGATATTCATAAATTATTTTAATTATTCCATATAATAAGTAATATAATTTAACATACAATAAATAACTTCTTAAGATACTCAGTTTAATATTTTTATAATAAATATATATTAACACGTTTATAGTGATGTTTTATCTATGAAAAATTATGATTAATATTTTTATTTCACACTATAATTAATCGAATCATATTATCTTATACCAAAAAAGTACAACTAACTTTAGTCGCTTCAAGGTTTTATTTATTTTTTGGTATACGTGTGTATATTTTTTAAAGACCTAGATATTATTCATTGTAATTGCGGCATTGTTTTTAATAATAAAATAATAATAATTATATTATTACAAAAATTGTATTATATTGAAAATAAAAAGAATACTTGTTTAAAATTTTAAATAACTAGACCTGTTAAATCTGTGAAAAATATTTATTACTCTTTTTATATAAAAATGCTGATTCATAAATTAATCATCGATAGTATATAAAAATACCATGTATTTCCTTAAATGTAATTGTTAGTTTATAACGTTTTTGTTGGATACTGGTACAGAACACTAAATATTATAATAAATAACAATACTGCCTATAATGTTTGCAGATGCTTAGCGAGTGGTGGGTGTTATCGTTGATAGTGTCTGTAGTCGGCGGACACGCGCCTTGTCAACAATCATACGGCGGTTGCAGATACAACGAGCCTTTCGTTCCTGCGCCCGTTGGTCAAATTCCCAGGTGCGTTTATCATTATAATGGTGACGTCACGTATTGTGAGAATATAGACAGATATCCCGAGTAAGTCAAAATTGTCCTTTAAAGAAAAATACGTACGTATGTATTAATTTGATTTTTTTTAAGTAAATGAGTTACTATCACAGGTGCAACTAGATAAAATTTCGGAAGGACCTGAATGTACTTTCACCTTACCCTAAAAATGTTTTTACATAATAATAGATATAGTTTTTCTGAATTTTTTGGGCTAACATTTATAGCCGGATTTAGATATTCGTAAGCCCTAGGCACTAATTAAAAATAATTTGGAACCAATAATAAGCACAACAAAGGTAAAAATTGAGTTCGTAAACCCATTTTCTTCTCATAGGCTCTAGGTATAATACCAAAAGTACTTTAAGGTTAATATGGTCCTGTAAGCACCTCTAGTTGCACCAATGATCATTTGTTCTAAAATATAATACATTAATTTTTACAAACTCAAATAATAAATATATTATTTAGTTGTAAGATTTTCTTATATAATTATTTTTAAAGGCGACTGATAAGCTATTTAGTGACCAAAGTAGACAAAAACTTTAAAACTTTTTTTAACGAAGAGAAATTAAGCGACAATCCGTATTCATATAGGTAAAGAATTTTATTTTTTAATGATTTTAGTTAGTTTTAACACAGTTAATGATGAAATATTTATTTATTTTTATTAGTAAAAATTATCAATATAATGAGACAAACATAGACTTTGCTGGATACCCAGATAGAAGGTATAACTTACCACATGTTTCATTGACCCAAAGTCCTCCTCCTTTAGGAAATCAGCAGTGGAATTCTAAGTATGTCAAAAGAGTATGCATAAAATTATTAAATAGGATTGCTTATATGAAAATGTTATTGTATTAACGCGAGATAAAACATCTAAAAATTTAAACATTTTTTAATGATCTGTTATTCTGTACAGCCCAGTTGAAAGTGGTTACAAAAGACGTAAAAGACAAGTTGAACAAGATCAGTTGTGCCAAGTTAACATAAACAATGTCTATCCGAGGGCTGCATTGAACACTCAAGGTGAATGGAAATACGTAGTCAACATGGTCCGAACACCTTCTGATATGTATACACAGTCAATCAGATCGGAAATCTGTGCGTGAGTATGATACATGTGATATTAGTGTGATAATGAAAATCTATTGTTTTCCACAAGTTTTTTATGCGTACACACGTGTACGTATGTTTGTCTACAGTAGGCGCCGCACAACAGTTACTAAAAATTATATGTTTTTTGCATTCGCGTTATATATTAATGCATAACTAAATCGTTTTATAAAATATCGTAAATCAGTGATTAGTTATTGCTTAAATATTAAAAACTTTTATATTTTTAAATAACCATTACATAGATAATACTTAGGTAATATCAGTGTTACATCTCATTATATCATTAGTTAAATAAGATAAATATTAAATAGATAGTTTACCAAAAGTTAATTTTTGAAAACTCAAACTTCCCAATTGTTTAACTAATGTTGAAGAAAAAAATTACCTATGTTCAAATAATAAATATAATTTTTAAAATATAATGTAAGTATATCATAATAAATGAGTTCTTTGATTTTCAGATCTCCAGATCAGCCTTGCAGTGGAATTTGCGAAACTCCTTTCGGGTATACTACAACGTGTAAGCAGAAATATGTCCAAAAACGGTTGGTAGCATTGCAAGGGACAGGAGATAATTTGTACATAGACGTTTTCTGGTTTCCACACTGCTGCTCTTGTACTATTGGCAGAGTTTAACAAAAAAATAAATAAAAAATACATAAACGGTTTTTATGTTTTACNCTGCTCTTGTACTATTGGCAGAGTTTAACAAAAAAATAAATAAAAAATACATAAACGGTTTTTATGTTTTACTATCAGTGGTTTTGAAAAAAAAGAACACACATAAAAAAGTATTTTAATATTTTTTTAGTATGATAATTTTTATAAAAAAAAAATAAATACAGGAGTACTAGAATTTTTTATAAAATCGTAAAATTAAAATATTATGTAATTTAGATTTATTTTAAATTATAATACTTTTTGAGTATTTATGATATTTATTTTTGTAAATAATTGTTAATTTATCTAAGGTTTTATACTAATATATCATAATATTTCATTAAAATAGAAAAAGTGTTAAGTAATGATATTATTGTAAGGCTAAAATTTTTCTTAAGAAATATTCCAGTTAAGGTTAGTAAAATTAGTATTAAATTTAATTTTCCATGGTGCTTTTAATTTAAATATAGTAACATTCTTTTATATAGGCATATTATACAAGTCTTTATTATTTATATGAAAAAAAAAATTATTGAAGTTTTATTTATAGTAACATTACATTTAATCTAGAAAACTCCAATAAGTTGTTATTTTATATAGACTAAAAATTAGAAAAACCACAAAAAAATAAAAAGTAACTATGAATTTTGTAATTTTTTTTTTGGTAAAATGTTATTGAGCTCAGTGTAAGCTGAACAGGTGGTTTTTAGAAGAATTAGAAACCGCGTGACCGAATAAAGTATCATTTATGCTCATATATTACAACTGACATTGCATTATGTCACAGACAATTTAAACCTTAAAGAAAATATGTCAACAATTTTTCGTTGTAAGATTCTGAATTAAAAACTAAGACGACGTTAGCTCATATTTTTTTATGTTTTATCCAAATAAAATATAGGCGAATCATGATGTATAAATCTTTGGCTAAGGATTCATTATGCATAGGTTTACATTGCTAAAAATGTACAAGTATAATAAAGAGATTTAAGAAAATTATTTTCTCTCTATACATTAGCTAAAGGAATGTTGCTAGCTTGCGTTAGGTTAGATCAGATCAATGCCTTAAGAATGTTTTCAAAAACAATTGTAGGACAACTTCAAAATTTTACCAAGTGAAAAATTATAATTATCGTGTTAATTTTAATTAAACACATATTAATAATTTTATTTTTACTAAATTTTGAATAAATAAAATCTAAAAATGTATTATATCACTTATAAATAGATTACTTTAATTAACATAAATAAAATACCCTCTAAAAATAAAGTAAGCAATATAATACAACACAAAATCATATAACAGCAGATATAAGTATCTTAATAATAAAATAAACCAATAAATAAATAAAGTAATAATTAATTATCTAGTAAAATTTAATCATTAATCTTAGTATTTCTCATAAATATTCAATAAGGTGGATGTTTACTTATAATTTAATTACATTAACAAATGAATGAATGAATTTTACAATATCTTTTTTAAAATTTTATTCCTATTAATTTTTTTTTTAAATATGCGTTACAATGTAATACTCTACACTCTGCTTAAGAATTACTATGCCTAATCTATCTCCTGATGATACAAATAATTACAATCAATAAATGTACATCAATTAATTTTAATTATTTATCATTATCATAGAAATAAATGAATCATCGTATTTTTTATAATTATTAATAAGATAAAACGGTATCACAATAATTCCGTTGCGAATTAAAAACTATTATTATTAAGTTTTCTTAAAAACTATTCCTTTTGGTCTTTTTTTATAATACAGTCAAGTTGGCATTATGCGAATTTTAACGACTAAAAACTTTTGTAAAATCCGTACAACTGTATTGTATAATGAAAAATAATCAATACAACGTTATTGTATTTATTAACTGTAATTTATTTGTTATAATAGTTAAAGTTGAAAGACATTTGGTTCATTAATAATTATTGCAACTATTTTAATTGGATTTTACATATATCTACTAGAATATACAAAAATTCTAATCAACATAGGTCGATGATTAAACCTTTAAATTTATTATTTGCACGAAATAACATAATAATGAATTTATCAGCATTCTATATCAAGTATAATTTTTAGACTCTTTCGTCTGAATTTTTAAAAATTTACGTATGGTTTAATATTTGTAATTGATATTCTGTTTTGTAATATAAAATTTTGAATCATATGAAATAATAAAAACATTTTTTTTAAATCAAGTCGCAAATAATAAAACTTTTCACATTATTTATGCGACCCGTGACAGTCCGCTTTTATTGTTACCGTTCACAAACTGGTTTTGTATTCCGATTAAAAGCAATAATTAAAATAAAAAACATAATAAAAAAAATAAATAGTATAGCCGGAGTTTTTCGCGGGGACACAAAAGGGCCGGGTGATGATGACTGTACCGGTGGTGGTGGTGATAGTGTCGGCGTAAGAAGTGGTGCGGCAGGGACGGTTTTGGTGCGTTACACACGGTATTGCATCACGGCAGCGGTAGAGGTGGTAGTAAGACCACGGCTGGCGGGTAGGCGGTGAACATTTAACAATGACCGCGTGCGTGCGTGCGTTTGCGCTATGTGCGCCACGGCGACGGTGTCGACGGCTGCACGCGGTAGCGATGCGGCAATACAGCTGCCACCCCGGGGGCACCTGGTAGGGGGATGCCGGGGAGCGCGAGTCTAATACCCCCTCCTCGCGATTAGTCACAGCAACGATGACGATCGCGAAAAACCAACCCCTAGCGGACCGGCCGGTAACTAAGCAGCAACGGCGGCTATGGGTGCCATCGATGCCGTGCGTGCGTGCGCGCGCCGTATACCCTGTGCGTGCAATGTGCGTCGTGCGTGCCGCGTACACCGTACACCTAAGCCACAGTCGTGTCGAGGTGCGTGGATAGCTTAGTGCGCGCGCGTTTGAGTGTATGTTCGGTGTGAATTTGACGAAAAAAAAATTATTTTAATTGTTATTTTTCTTAATTTGGACTTCATTTAAAAATCATCGAATGAGAAAATATTTTAAGTGAGTACATGTCGATTAATTAAAAAAAACACTGATACAAATTTTTCGACGGTTAATGAACCAAATTTTGATTTATAAACACGTGATAAATGGGGTTGCGCGCGAAAATTGTAACTTTCGTTTGACGGCGGTAGCGAGACAAACAAGGGGAGGCAACGACCCCCCAGGAGGAGAGAAAGTGAAAGCGCAACGCCGGAAGTGTTTTCTCGCATTGTGTTCTCTCGTCTGTCTCGTTTTGCGGGATCAACGTAAATGTTTACAAACAAACCCTAAACCGTTTTATTGCTCGCACTGTCGGTCACTTGACAGTAACTTGGCGATAAACTTTTCATTTGAAACAAAATTCAAGTTTTGATTCAAATAGCTCATAACAGTTTTTAACGAGTGATGTGTTATGGCCGTTGCTTTATCTTTTTTAATTGGACGTTGTCATATTAATTTGTAGTTACGATGTATTATGATGTTGTGTGTGTAAGTTGAACAGTATAAATATTATTACTATTATGTGTAAAGAGTTCCAAAAACGTGAATACGTTGTGATGTATAAAGCTGTGTAGATCAACAACAGCCGTTGTTATAAATGTATACATGTATGTGTATGTCATTTTATTAAATAAAGTGTTTTTATTCAACAATAAAAACATCCTTCCTGATTAACCATCGACGCCGTTATAGCGGTTGTACGCGCTTGCCTCAGATTACCATGATTATTATTTTATTATAATGTGTTTAGACTTTTGACGTGTCTATGTGTGTAAAACGATGAGTTGAAAAATTGTTTCGAAAAAATGCCAAGCACAATTATCTGTGTTAGTCAAATGCACAAATTTAGTTTTTCAAGTGTAGTGAAACATTATTACATTACTAAATTTATTTTCAATTTGTTAACACCGGACTTTTCAATAATTCGCTTATTTTTCGTTCTTACAAGATTAAATTTCATCCGTCTAAAATCTTCCATAACTGAGAGTATTCATAATCGCACAGACATAAGGGTATCTTTTTTAGGGTGAACTACTTGTCTCTATTACAGTTTTCTTTCCCTTGGGCGGGTTTTCTCGTTACTTGGGGAGAAATACCTCAAACAGCGTCTTGCCATAGGTCACGAGTCACTTCTTTCCTTTAAACTTATTGTTGTCGTAGGGTGCAAAAAATCGATCAAAATGCTTTCAAAATGAAAATAGACTCAAAAAAATTTTTTTTTTTAATAATGAAATTTTAAATTATCTGTTAATAAATTAGTCTGAAACATTACTAGTAAAATGTTTGAAAGTTACATTGAGAAGTTTATTGATAGACACTATGATTTCTAATAATACTATTTTTCTGTTTTCAGTGAAAGTTAAACGTGACGATATGGGCACGTGACGCTGGCTGCGACATCGGCTAGTATGAGCGAGGGTGGCGGGGAGGCAATGGCCTCTTACGGTACGGCGGGATACCCGCCGACTCAGCCTGCCACCCCGTCATCTACAGTGCCGGAATCCAAGACGCCAGGCCCGGCTCCTGGTCTTCCGCCGTTTAGTTCGTTCTCGGCGGTAGAACTGGCAGAGGGTCTAGGCGCTCGTTTGGGTCCCGGCGACGGCTACGATCCGACCAACGGTCGCATTATGGACATGCACTGGGATTATAATCCAGACGGACTTCATCGTCCAGATCTGTACCCAACAACTATGATCATACCACAACCACAGTCTTATAGGCCATGGGAAAGTAAATTGGATGGCAGCAATTCTCAAGACTCCATGTCGAAAGGATCGTTTGATTACCCATCGTCACCCGCCGGTAGTAAGTTGCCGTCTTTTCAATCTCAGTTCAACTTTCAAACCGAACAACAGCAACATCCGGAAACGGTGTCACTAACTACATTGACGCCAGCAGCTGTATCGCCTAATCAATCACCCGGTTTACCGAGTTTTCATACATTGTCAACAGTTAACGTAGCAGCCGCTGCACCTCGGGGCTATCCAACGTTAGTGCCGGGTATTCAACAACAATTTCTCGATGATCGAGCCGGTACTATACATCTGTTTCAAAGTCCACAGTATCCACCTCCTCCACCTCCACCACACGCTTTTGCGCCCCAGAACCACCATCAAAGTACAATAATACAAGGCAATTTTATGGGAGCGCCACATCATCAGTCTAATCAAGCCACTCTTTTGACAGTAGTGAAGACTGAACCGGTCGCTATTGTTTCCGCTCAAATTCCCAGTCATATTTATCAGAACGCTGGCGGTACGTATATCGATTCGGTAAAAATGGAGGACACTCTATCGCCGAGAGGCTTGCAAGAATCGCGTAAAAAAGAACGGAGAAAAGTACGAGCATCTAGTATGGATAGTTCTGTGGAAAGTGATGGAGTAGGAAGTTCAAGTGTGGAAAGCTCGGGACAGGTAGCTGCGATTAGTAGTACTGCCGGATTCAAGTCGCCGCTTGTACAGCACAATATATCAAATATGTCTAGTGGAGGATCCATGATGGATTCTGATCATTGCGAGAATGGTAGCAATGGACTCGATAAACAGACTAAGAAGAAACGAAAACGATGTGGTGAATGTATTGGATGTCAGCGAAAAGACAACTGTGGCGATTGCGCTCCATGTCGCAACGACAAAAGTCATCAAATATGCAAGATGAGGAGATGCGAAAAGCTCACTGATAAAAAGGTAAGTGTGAAAATAGGTTCGATAAAACGTGATATGAATATTAAAATTAATTAGTAGTCAACAGCCGATAAAATAGCCAGTTGAACAATGATTACCGTTGGACGTTATGTAGGGAATTTGGCGATAATTATTTAAATCCGCATACAAACACATTTGTTTTATCTGCATTCAATTGTTTCAATGTTAAGTCACGCCAGCACGGTACGGGAACCGAGTGCAACACGTTAAATGCTTTTTGTTTACTTCCTGTCGCAACTACACACCCCAAAATACAATAATATTATATGTTCATGAACGTTCGTACATTGCGTTTGCGGAGAAAGTTCAAACCCCTCTAGATATGTGCAAGGGTAGATGTATACCGGCATTTGTTTGGGATATATACAATATTGTTGTGTTGATGATTCGTCAACGGGACCTTCCCCTTGACACACATTTCTGACGGAGGCACCTGCAGTCCCTGTAGTTACCATTACCGTATTCACTCACGCCACAATAACTAAATGTACATAACCCCAACTCAAGACAAAATAATAGTGATTAGTGCGTGTTATGTAATAGTGTTTTTAAGGGTCATCTGTACCGTTGCAACAGATGATGTCCGACATAAAATGTCTTTGAGTTTTGTTTATTGTTTGGTTAAACAACACAAATTGTCTTAGGCATTATTGTACATTTTTTTTTTATTACATTTATTTAAATCTGTGTCATTCATTATGAGTCATACACAACTCCCCGCGGGTAAAGTATTCTGAATCGGCTTTAAAATTTCCTATTCTTAGATTTTACAAAAATAAGATATTATAACATATAAAAGATATTTGAATAGTCTTTATTATTCAATTTAATTAATAATAAACTAGAACTTATATCTTTTACTCAGTGCTAATATATTTTATTTACACTTTGTAAAAATATCTTCGTGTAGACTCCAACGAAATCTCTCATGTTATCTACGTGAAAACTCCTTGACTTTTTTTATATTTACCATTAACTTTTATTTTAAAATTACACCAACACATTCACAGGCCATTTCACTATTCCTAATAACGTAAGACCTATTTAAAAAAAAGTTAAAGATGATATAATTCATAATAAAACAAAATTGTTCTATATATTTATATTTATTGTTCATAAAATAACGAAATATTATTAACTTATTTTATTAAATGTGTTTGTATCGTAACAGTAATTAAATGTTCGATATTTTTTATCGTTAAATTTTATCGGTTAACTTAATATTTTTCAGCTGTTCGTAAAACTTAATTCATTAATTTAGTTGTACAAAATTATAATAATTTAGATAAAAATTAATTTACTTGTTGAAATTTAATTTTGTTGGTACTTTGAACGTATATGCCTAAATGAAGTTTGATTTGCTATTAACTAGATAATTCGAAAACCGTTTTGTCTTGTTATCAAAGAACCTCAATAAAAATACAGTTTTTAAGATGGTGTATATTATTATATTTTGTTCTCTGTATAATATTTTTTAATGATCATAAATGGCGAAAAAGCATCTTATTTAGGACGCTGGTCACGATTACGGATATAGAGAAATGAATGCGAGGCGGTATATTGCTTAACGACAATGGCAGTGAAAGTGTTTTGAGGGTCGAAGGATAGAGCGAGGGGGTGAAAACATACACGAGAGATGAAAAAGAAATTTCGCCGTGTGTCGAACAGTGGTAAAGTACACTGTGCAGAAGGAAGGGCGAGGTGGGCAGTTCATGGATCGATAGTGGAGCACAGTAATGGCGTCGCGCGCTATGACTCATCGTGGCATCCCTTTGGCGCGCAAGCCGCGTACGCGTCGTTTGATCGCGCGTTGAGTAAGAAACGCTGCCGCATCGTGCAAAGTGCGGTTGTCAAAGGTTCGGGACGAAACCCTCCCCTTGTATTGCATTGCCAGGTAGACGGATCCTTTCATTTTCTTGTGAACTCATTTTCTGTTCACTCAAATGTGTATTTATGCATGACAGTGCATGCGGTACATATGCACCGAGAAAGTTTTATTTTCGCGTCGTGTGTCTTCGTTCTTGATGCTATTACGGAATCATTCAACTTAAATAGAAATTATAAGTTGTGATAAACGATTTTTTATCCCAAAAGCTTCTACATTTTTTTTCAAATATGAATTGTTTCGTTTCAACACTTTTGGCGCACTAATGTTTTGCTTAAAAATATTTCGACGATTTCTTAAAAGTAAAAATATTGATTTTTAAATCGATAGGGAGTTCTCTGTATTTAGATTTTTTATAACAAATAAAAATTTTTCTGATGATTTTTTCATACAGCTCATAACGTCAAATTTTAATACGCAGTAGGACATTGGCTTAATATTGTTTTCCTAGTGTGTTTGTCCGCCCCCAAAGCGGCGATTGTTTTCGTAGAAAAACGCTGTTGCGATGGTCTCTTACCAAGTGTTCTCATCGAGTACTCTAAAAACCCATTGGTGGTTGGCCCCATGCTGTGTGTAGGTGTACGTGGATATCGAACGGACAATGATGTAAGAAGAACGATGAGAATCGTCGCGATTCCGTCGTTTAACCTGTGCATTCATTTAGTACATTGTTGTACGGTCTCAAAGCAGATTCATATCGTCGGACAGCCCTCTGGCCGCGTTTTTTACAGGGATAGCATTGTGTTAAGAATTCTTTTGTAAAATTTGCATCACTACGCCAAGTTGATCGTAAAATAATCGTTCCATTATTTACATCGAATAAAGTTTAGACAGATAATAATGTTCTTAACCATGCAAAACACTAAGGGTTAAGTCGCCTAGAGGTCATTGCAGTTTTATCATTTTTTATTTATGCTATTCGATTAGAGTAACGTTTTTCAACGGTATCGACAACGTCAGCCATTTTTTTCTAGCTGCGATTTCGATACGGTTCATCTACGAAGAGCGGCCCTTTGTAACCGTTATTTTAGCTCTTGTTCTATTATGGAAAATAAAAATCATCACTGTTCTTTACATTAGTATTCGAATACTCTTTTATAATAATTTGCGCATCTATTATCTAGAGAAATTTAAGTTTTACAGAGTCTCATTGAAACCGTGTAAAATTTAACCAAATATCGATTTGAAAAATATAACCTTTCCGATTAAAAAGGTTCGACCGTTTTGCGTAAAACTGTATACGATCGGAGATCAAAAAAAAAAACATCGGGCAGAAATTTTTATGAGTGCGGTTTGTTATGGTAAAATGCACGTGGGTGGATGGTTTACGGGGAGGAAACCCCTTTAAATTCTATGACGTCACGTATACACCCAGCGTTTTAAAGTGACGATAATACGCCGAGAAGACCGCACTTCCGCACTGCCGTACGGGTTTGGTCACATGTCTGAGAAGAACATTGCACACGGTATACAAACACTGGCGCAACGACTGAAGAACCCGAGACACCGTTTCCGGTCGTCTGAAGCATCGGGAAGCCTTTTACCGTATATTTTTTTACCGTGTGTAGGTATATGCTGAACGGCTGATACTTGTGCGTATTCATACTATCGTGCCATTGGATTTGGTTGAAAAGTTAATAAAATGTATTCTTTTTACAAACGAATTAGAGAGAATTTATGTACCACCTCCACGGCCTCGTCTTTTCGAATACTCGCGCTGAACAATATAACTCGAAATTTCGGCCCGGTAAGCACACCGCGGCAACGTTGCACATCGTCGGTGTTGAAGGTCAATGTTATGGGGTAAAACGAAGCCGCCATTGCACCTAAAAAACCCCGCACCCCGAACAGCGCCGGGCAACGTTTGGGGTGACAAAGATTAAATCCCATATACGTACTCGTATACAAATAGTGTCCGCATAATAGTAAACGGTGACTTCTGCACATTTCACACGTATCATTGTAATGCACATGAAATTATGTGTGTCGATGTACTATTTACCGCGGGCACGGGGTGCGAGGGGTTTTCTCCATCTCGTTCGCCCAATTTCACTTTCCCTCTTGTTCGCACTGTTTATATGCCGTTCGATTTTGCGAATATTAATAGCGTGACGTGGAAAAATCTAATTGCAAAAGTTTACATATGACAATTGGTAAACGTTGGCAGTACATTTTGACATAAATTTTTGGACCCTAACAAATGCTGTCATTTATATACTAGTAGTACATGCATTTGAAAATCCATTGCGAAGCTTTTACAAGCTAAAGTGTTCTGGGTGTAAACTTAAATGAAATAGTTTTTATTTCGGATTCACGTTATTCAATTGATTGATAACCGTTGTTTATCGAGTAGCGTTACGTTTCTAATGGAATCGATTTTGTAAAGTTAATTGAACGCTAATTGTNCATCTCGTTCGCCCAATTTCACTTTCCCTCTTGTTCGCACTGTTTATATGCCGTTCGATTTTGCGAATATTAATAGCGTGACTTGGAAAAATATAATTGTAAAAGTTTACATATGATAATTGGTAAACGTTGGCAGTACATTTTGACATAAATTTTTGGACCCTAATTTTTGTTCCGAGTTGTTTATTTGCGACATCAAAGTACGCCTAAAGGGGAAATCGACGCGGTAAAATGAAGTATTTGATTTTAATTGAAATTACTTTTCTGTCGGTAAATTATTTTATTAAACGCATATATTACTACGCGCTCCAGGTGTGCCTACACGAATAATCCTATTGTTGCTATAGCATATACTATATGTGTATATACACATATATAGGCACAATGTTGTTATGATGAATTTTCGTAATAACACTTATGATATTGGCTCCAGGTGCAAGTTTAATTTATTTATTTTTTTATTGTATTTTCATTACCGGCTCACGATATGATTAAACGTCCGGAACCCAGGTGGCTTCAACGAGCTTAACGCGATAAGTTGTTGGCACACAAAAAAATCGACGGTAAATCGCTAACGTTATTATTACTAACAAAAGCAAACGGGGTGGGTGTAATTTTTTTTACACTTCAAACTTTTATTGTGCCGTGTAATATAATATGGCGCTAAAAAGTTGTCGGTTTTAACGTTAAT